TTGCCATGGACTGAAATTGCCTTGACTTGAACACTGAGAAAATCCAAAGTGGCAGACCTTTGGGACTAGGGAGAGCAGGTTCTTAAAACTCTTTCCAGATCTAGAAGGCCACACTTGCGCGCTCTGTGTCTCTTTCCTTGTGTGCCCAGTTTGGCTTTATTTTGAGTTTCTTCGCCAAGGCCATGCATGCACACTCTGTATCTCTTTACCCATGCGCCTTGTCTGACTTCATTTTGAGTTTCTTAAAAGGCCGAACTTTAATCTTCCGGAAGGTTCCAAGGGAAGGATTTGCTTCATCCCCCTCACCAGTCTCTCTGGGGTTCTTGTTCCCAGAATGCAACTGTACCACTTCCATTACCAAGCTGCCTTTTGGCATGTCGATAAAACAAGTGCTTGACACACCTCCCCGCAGCTTTAGAGCTATTAAGAGAGGGAACAAGGAGGACTGTGACTTTCGCCTCAGTGTGTTGAGAGCCCCACAGGGAGGGAGAGGTTTGTGGAAGCTGTGAGACCTCGGTGCTCTGGGGCTTATTGGAGAACAGAGCTGAAGAGGGTAATCGTCTTTTCCTTTTTAAATGCATGAGGTTCTTGAATCTCATTCACAGCTTGCAGGGGCCTGTGTAGAAGATCTCAAAGGGGCAAGATGGCAGTGCTGGCCCAAGGATTTGGGGATGCTTGAAGTGTGAAAAAGACTTTCTGCCGTACTTGGTGCCAGTGTTACATATTCAGCAAATAACAGGGACGTATGAGATTTCAACAGGACACCAGGTCCTCATGTTATCATTTTCACTGAGTTTCAGGTATTATATGGAACTGCCTTAAGCCCTTGGTCCACTGAAGTCAGCAGTGGCTCTCCAAGGTCTCAGGCCAGAGGTCTTTCACAGATTTTTTAACTGGAGAGACTGGGGATTGAACCTGAGACCTTCTGTGTGCCAAACGGATGCATTACCACTGAGCCACAGTCCCTTCTCTCTGAGACTGCATCTATGTCTTGGTTGGCCAATTAACATTGAGAAGTTTTTAAAAAAAGTAAACACTATGTTTAAGTGTGTTCTACTCTTCCTCTGAAGGGCTAAGAGTAGCATCAATAGTATTAGAACAAATTTGGAGTCCGGCGGCCCCTCTAAGACCAACAAAGGTTTATTCAAGGTATGAGCTTTCATGTGCATGCACTTTTTCAAATAGTATTGTAACTCTTCATTTGGGATTCATGGGTCATTCGATCACACCCACCAGTGCAGGGGTCTCCAACATGGTGCCCCTGGCTCCCACCGATACCTTTCCTGGTGCCCACCAAGTATTTTTAGAAAGTGGGAGGGGTCGGGTGGGGCTTTTGCTTAGCAAGGCTCCTGATTGGCCATTTTGTATCTGGCTCCCACCTCCTTGGGCAGGCATGTTTTGACTGCACCAACCACACTGTGTTAGAATTCCAAATGTGCCTGCAGGCTCAAAAGTTTGTGGACCTGTGCGGTAGCGGGTACTGACTGAAAGGAGCCAGGCCTGAAGCAGTGACGCATGTAGAGAAGCAGCAGACAGCCTCTTCTGTAAGATCCATCCTTCGGGGTCCTAGTGAATTACTAATTTTCCACAAGACTGGTAGCAGGTCTCTCGTTCCCTAGCTCAATTTGTGAATTGCTTGTTCCTGCACGGTGCTGCAAATCAAAGAAGAGGCCTTCTGCTCCCACTCGCAGCCCTCCACTAGTCTCTTCCATTCCTCTCTGCATCTTGTTGCTCTGGCTGTTGATGGAGGTCTTTCAGTCAATGCGCCCAGCATGATTGCTCTGTACATAATTGCACCCTCTTTGCTGCCCTGCTGGGTTATGAAAACCGAAAGGGAGCTTGTGAGTTGGGAGTGTTTTAAAAAAATTTTATCTGAATGACGGTCTTAGAAGAGAACATAAGAATAAAGTTCGAGTCTTAGTGGCACCTTTAAGACCAGCAAAGTGTTATTCTGGGTATAAGCTTCCATGCACTTGCACATGAAAGCTTACACCCAGAATAAACTTTGTTGGTCTTAAAGGTGCCACTGGGTTCAGATTTTGTTCTGCTGCTTCAAAACAACACAGCTACCCACCTGAATCTATCTTTGTAAAGAACCTATTCAGCCACATCTCAGCTAAGAATCTTGCTTGCATAGCCCTAAGGAAGTTGTCTGGGATCTAACAGTTCCATGGGTCCCAAATTCTAGTTAGCCTAGTCTTGTAGGGCCCTAGTGGTACACCTCGGGGTATATCAACAGAGGCATCACATCCAAATTACAAGATGTCATAGTCCTGCTGTACACTACATTGGTTAGGCAATACCTGGAGTATTGTGTGCAGTTCTGGAGGGCTCACTTCAAAAAGGATGTGGACAGAATGGAGCAGGTGCAGAGGAGAGCGACGAGGAGGATCGGGGGCCTGGAGGCCAAGCCCTGTGAGGAAAGGCTGAGGGACCTGGGAATGTTTAGTCTGGAGAAGAGGAGGTTGAAGGAGGACACGATTGCTCTCGAAGTATTTGAAGGGCTGCCCCTTAGAGGAGGTCAGGGAGCTGTTCCTGTTGGCAGCGGAGGAGAGGACTCACAATCATGGGTTTAAATGAAGGGTGGGAAGGTACCGGCTGGATATTAAGGAAAACATTTTTACAGTCAGAGTTGTGCAACAGTGGAATGGGCTGCCTAGAGAGGTGGGGAGCTCTCCCTCACTGGCAGTCTTTAGGCAGTGGCTGAATGAACACTTGTCAGGGATGCTCTAGGCTGGTCCTGCATTGAGCAGGGGGTTGGACTAGATGGTCTGTAGGGCCCCTTCAAACTCTGTGATTCTAAGCCAGAACAACACCAGAACTTTCCCTTCCTTCCACTTGTAAAGCTAGAATAGCCATAGGACCTGTGTAGCTCAGGGCTTTCTGTTATGACTCACAGTAGGTTTCCACCCCCGCTACGTCATGTCTTTCCTGGCAATGCCAGAGGTTATACATGGGGACGGCCTTCTTCACGCCAAGCACATTCTCGGCTGCTGAGCTGTAGTTTCTGTCTTACAAATCAGAAATGTGAAAATGCGCGCACCTCCGCCGAAACCTGAATCCACCCCGTGTCTTGAGCTCAGTAGATTCACCATGGTAATTACGTCTGAATGGGCATGGAGAAGACCTCCTTTTCCACCCAGATCTGTTCTGCTCGGTATCTTGTATTTCCAGCTTGTTCTCAAGAACACCATGGCAGTAATGGATTTGCAGTACACCTGTCCCTTAGCAAGAGCTTGGAATCTTACCTTGTCAAATCACACTCACACCCCCATCCCCAAGCCTTCCATTATCAAAATGTTTGCTCGAAACAAGAATATTTTATAGCTCTTGTAGAACGAGTAGATCTGGGTGTGTAAGATAAGTTTGTTGAGCGGATTTGGTTTGCTGTGAAGGAATACTCTTAATAGTCCCATTCTTAGCCGGGTGGCATCCTTCGAAGTCCGTTGAAGTCAGTGGACTTAAAAAGGGGCAGCGCTTGCTTACTAACGAATCGTAAGCAACAGGATTTATTTGGGCAAAGGAGACTCAGATATTCTTCCGGGAGTGAAAACGATTCAGTGGATTGAAAAAATTCAGCATCGATAGTAACTGGTTGTAGGAGGTCCGAAATGGAGTTTTGGGTAAATTACAGCAAAAACCTGTGCAAGCTACTGCAGTCCAATCCAGGAGTCTGCAGCCTTTTTGAGCTTGAGGGGACCTTGGAGTTCTGACATAGCAAAGTGGGAGCAGCCACAAAATGGCAGCTTCGGGCAGGGGAGCCAGCCACAAAATGGCTGCCGCAGCTCATCTTCAGCCACACAGTGCAGATCCTTGGGCCGTGGTTGCAGCTGCTGCCACGGCAACCTTTTTGAAAAGCTGCGCAGCCAATCAGAAGCCTTGCTGGGTGAAAGCTCTACCTGGCTCCACCAACTTTCTAAAAACGCTTGGTTGGTGTGGGGAAAGTTGTTGGCAGATGCAATAGTTCCCGTAGGCACCATGTTGGAGACCCCTGGTCCAGTGGTTAAAACCAACACCTTAAATTGGATCTGGAGACTAATTGATAGACAGTATATAAATATCTGTGTGTGTATGTGTATATGTATGGGCCACGGTGGCTCAAAGGTTAAGATGCTGAGCTGCAGACTGGAAGATCTGTAGTTTGGCAGTTCGAGACCCTGGTGCCGCGTGATGGAGAGTGCTCCTGTCTCTGGCTTCAGCTTCTGCCAACCTAGCAGTCTGAAAGCAAGAAACTGCAAGCAGATAAATAGGTACCGCTGCGGTGGGAAGGTAACATCACTCCGTGCATCTTGGCGTTTAGTCATGCTGGCCACATGACCACAGAAACGTCTTCAGACAGCACTGGCCCTTCGGCTTGGAAATGGCGATCAGCACCACCCTCTAGAGTTGGATTTGACTGGCTTTCGAGCAAGGGAAACCTTTACGTTTTAACCTTTATAGCTTTCACAGAATTGGAGCAATATGAACTAGTCCGCTAATTCAGAACAAATCTTGTAGCACTGCTGGCCCAGTTTATGTATAGGTAGATTTTCCCTGTCTCTCTTTTTACCCATACAAGGGGACACACATGTGATATCCCACCTGCATTTTTAAGTGGTACAGTCCAATGTTCCCTCTAAGCTGTGGAGCTGTGTGAGCAAAAATTCTACTTCGTGAGCTGCTGGCATTAAAGTTGTGAGCGAGCAATTGGGCTGCTGCATAAATTAGTCTGCTCTGGAGCCATCCTTCCTGAGCTAAGACAAAAATCTGTGAGCCAAAGGCTAAAAAGCTGTGAGCTAGCTCACACTAACTCAGCTTAGAGGGAACACTGGTACAGTCCCATGTGGGAAGGCTGTACCACATGACTTTACTGAACATGTAGATCAGGCTTAGCAGTTCACTACCACTCTCACGGTGGTAGAAATATCCCTAGGAATAGTTCTGTCAGCAATATGTTTAAAGAGTAAGTCCAAAAGGGTTCTGTTATTAACTTTGGTGTTTCCCTTTCAAATCTGCCTTAGGTAGCCATGTCCGCCAAAGCTATATCTGAGCAGACCGGGAAGGAGTTCTTGTATAAATACATCTGCACCTCGTCCGCCATCCAGAACCGCTTCAAATATGCCAGAGTAACACCCGAGACCGACTGGGACCATCTAATCCAAGATCATCCCTGGCTGTTGACTGAGGTGAGCAGAGTAAGCTACGTTATCTCCTCCCTGTCCCTTACAAGGCACCAGGGCTATTTTTGGGCAGGAACGCACAGGAACGGAGTTCCGGCTGGCTCCCAAGTTGGCCACGCCAAGCAGGAACACATTAGCATAATAGGCCACACCCAACAGCAGGAACTCATTAGGATTGGCTACGTTAGGGGTGTGTGGCCTAACATGCAAAGGAGTTCCTGCTCCCAAAAAAAAGCCCTGGGTTTTGTCAACAAACAAGGTAAAGAAAATAAGAAGCAAAAGGTGGGTGTGGCTGGGTGACCACACTTCTGGTAACATAGGGATGTGGCCTAATATGCGAATGAGCTGTGCTGTCAGGGGTGTGACCTAATATACTAATGAGTTCCTGCTGTTGGGTATGGCCTATTATGCTAATGAGTTCCTGCTGGGCTTTTTCTACAAAAAAAGCCCTGCAAGGCACGTCACGTAAAGATCTGTGCCGGGCCTGAACAAAAGTCGTTTTAGGGACCTAAAATTTCCAATATCTAGGTTCTGGTTTCATGCATGCAAACAGGGTGTAGGGGGATGTTTCAAATTCAGCCCCCAGGGAAGATCATCTGCTTGTGAGAAGCTAATGGAATCTACTCAGGGGCAGACATGGTCCAGCAGTGTACCAGGCTGGATGCCCGTGTGTTGCTAGACACCTGTGCTGCAAGGGCCACTCAGCCTGGATCTGGCCAGTGGGGCCAATGATGGGTGTCGAAGTCTGAGAGTCCCATTTTTTTTGTCTCGCATATCTTGGCGGTGCAAATCGAATTGCAAGCAGAAGACATTTCTCTGTCTTTTCTTGCATTCCCCTCTTCTCTCTCTCTCTCTCTCTCTCTCTCTCTCTCTCTCTCTCTCTCTCTCTCTCTGTCTGCCATCCAGTTGTTTAATCACATTTAGCTGTACACGAATCTGCGGTGCAGTCCCATTTTTCTTGCCAGTGGAAGGTAGCTGTGTCGGTAGCTAATTAAATGAGTCGGTTGCTGGCATGCGTCAGCCAGGAGATTATTGGGCTCAGTGAGTCTTCCAGAAAGTAGCAAAGGGTTTGGGAGCGTCTCGATCTCGTGCTAGAACCTGCATTTAAAAAAAAAAATCCCTAGGTGACTACAGAAATTTTTTGGGTTACAGCTAATGTTGGTTTGGGGAAACTCATCAGTCCCTCCTTGGTTTGTTGTCTGGGGACACCGGACCCCCCAAGACAGCTCTGTGCAGGAGCTGTTCTTACTACTTAATCCAATAGCGTGGGAGAGGAGGGGAAACTAAAGTCCATGCCGGCTGTAGCTCTTAAGTACGGTTGCTAGGTCCCCCCTGGCCGCCGGCATGGGTCAGGAGGCATAGGGTGGTCAGCTCCAGGTAGGGAAACTCCTGGAGATTTGGGGGTAGTGCCCGTGGAGGACCGGGACCTCAGCTGGGGTACAATGACATACAGAAATATTTTTTTTGGAAAAGGAGATGCTGGAACTCTCAAGAGGGAAATGAAGTTTTTGAGTTGCATGCTGAAAACTCATGAATTTTTAAACATTGTAAAAAGAATTTTGTCAAAGAGGTTCCGGAACTCCGTTCCGGCGCATTTCCCTCCAGAAGAAAAGCCCTGACTTAGATTCCACCCTCCAAACCAGCCATTTTCTCTGGGGGAACTGACCTCCATAGTCTGGAGACAAAACTGTAATTCCAGGTGATCCCCAGGGCCCACCTGGAGGCTGGTGTCCCTATTCCCGTGGTCTTGGGAGAAGGGTGATTAGACGAGATGCTGGGGTGCATGGCTTCAGTAACCACTCTGACCCCATTCGAGGCTGGTGGCTCTCTCAAAGGGCCGAGGGACCCAAATGCGTGTATAAGCTGCCACGAGAAAGAAGTGCACAATGAAGCTCTGCTTAGTCTCCTGCTTTGGCTGGTGACAAGTGAGGGCCAAGAGGGAGAGGAGGACGAGGGTGTTGCTTACCCCCACTTCAGGACCTGAAGCTACCAGGAATGGGATCAGAGGCCCACCTTTCACTTGTCGGTCACCTGTGGCTAGTAGAATAGCCTCGGGGTAACTGGGCAAGCTAGCTTTGCAAAAGTTGGTTCACTTTGGAAGGGGGAGGTTTCAAGTTTTATATCTTTAGTTGTAGATTTTCTGGACTGTATGGCCGTGGTCTTGGAACTGCAGTACCTGTAGTACCTGTCGTTTTGCCAGCAGCTGTGACTGGCATCTTCAGAGGTATAACACGGAAAGAAGGAGTACTCTCTGAGTACCTCTGAGGATGCCAGTCACAGCTGCTGGCGAAACATCAGGTACTACAGTGCCAAGACCACGGTCACACAGCCCGGAAAATCTACGACAACTAATGAACTCCAGCCGTGAAAGCCTTCGACAACATAGTTTTATACCATAAATTGTGTTATGTATTTATTGTTTTTATTGTTTATTTTATTGTCGGTTGTTTATGGAATTGTATTTTACTCCGTAAGCCATCATGAGCATTGCTTGTCGAGGGAATGGCGGGGTATGTATTTGATAAAGAAATAATTTTTTGCGCTGGGCTGATAACTGCTACGGGCCCTGCCCTGAAGTGTCCAGGTTATAGCTTGATCTAGTCCTATCTCGGGAGCTGCGGTGGCTCAAGTGGTTAAGACGCTGAACTCCAGGCTATGGAAGGTCGGTAGTTCAGCAGTTTGAGACCCGGGTGCCGCATGACGGAGTGAGCTCCCGTCTCTGGTCCCAGCTCCTGCCAACCTAGCAGTTCGAAAGCAAGACATTGCAAGTAGATAAATAGGTACCACTTTGGTGGGAAGGTAACAGCGTTCCGTGCGCCTCGGTGTTTAGTCATGCTGGCCACATGACCACGGAAATGTCTTTGGACAGCGCTGGCTCTTCGGCTTTGAAACAGAGATGAGCACTGCAACCCTAGAGTTGGATTCGACTGGCTTTTGAGCAAGGGAACCTTTACCTTTACTTAGTCCTATCTCAGAAGCTAAGCAGAGTCAGCCCCGGTTAGTCCTTGGATGGGAGACCGCTAAGGAAGCCCCAGGGTCTCTGTGCAGAGGCAGGCAAGGGCAAACCACCTCTGAACCTCTCTCACCTTGAAAACCCCACCAGGGATGGCCATAAGTCAGCCGTGACTTGACAGGTCCCCCCATGAAAAAAGAAAAGAAGAAGAATTGATTATGGAACATTTTATTTTAACATGATGAATAAAATATTTTAGGACAAGGTGTTCAAATATTTTCCAAATCATTTCTAAAAAATATGTATGGTATCAGATTAATCTAATTTATGTGCACGGAGGACAAGCAAGTCCTAGGTTACAAACTGAACTCTCCAATGCAAGAACAAGACAGATTTCTTCCTTTAGGAGGTGCGATTGTCAGAAGAAAAGAAAAAGGTTTCAGTTTTGTTTTTGCATGAGGGTGGGTATTCTGTTTGTAATAATTGTTTGGATACACTATATTTTTAATATGCTAGTTGTGATAATTTCATGTCAAGTAAAAATGTCCATAGTCATATTTTATGTTCCTAAAGTAACAGAATGACCTTCAATCTGGAAAAGAAAAAAGAAGTGCTAATGTAGCATTTTTTCAATTTTTCCGAAAATGTCCATTTCCCTTCGGAAAAAATGGGGGCGGGGGGGAACGGGTTTTTTTCCGAGCTTCAAAATCTCCGGAAATTTTACATCTCTAGTTGCAAGAAGACAGCTTAAGTACTTTGTCAGCCTGGCCCATTGGGCTGCCAAGTCCACGTTGGGGAAGTTCCTGGAGATTTGAGACTGGGGAGGGTGAGGTTTAGGGAGGGGAAAGTCCTCCATTGGAGATTATGCCACAGAATTCGTCCTCCAAAGCAGCCATTTTTTTCCCAGGGGAACAAAATTCCAGCACTGCCCATTGCTATGTTTTTATTTAGCGTGTCAGAAAAACACAGTCAAAGCATCCAGTCCCCAAACAGCCACCTGCATATGCCACCCGTCCACCATTCAAGTTACAGAGAAGGCTTTATGAACAAGGAAGCTTGCTTACATCGTCCATATTACCAGACACCTGCTGCTTGCCCACAGAGACCACCAGGTGGAAGGGAGCGTGCACACTTGGGTGTAATACTAAGCCCAAGCAAGTTGCCACTTGGGTACACCTGTGATCATATGTTGAAAAAGCACAGCCTGTTCAGTAACAGCATGGCCGTAGTCATGCTGATTTGCGTGTGTGGACTGTTGAAAACATATCTGGGAAGTTTCCGAGTTGACTTTTATTAGTCAAAGAGGCGACATGTTTGTGTCAAGAAATGATCTTGGGCACAGAAGCCCTGGCATGGAAAATGCCGCTCGGGCTTTCTCCTTCACCTCTTGCTTCTGACATCAGAAACAAATTTATATTCTTTTTAAAAAGCTCTTGGGGCCTGTGCAATGTGTGGGGTGTGCGAAGTAACATCTATAAGGAGCAAGGTTTGCGTTCATGGCCTGTTTCCAGAGGTATAAGTTTTCAAGAGTCAAAGCTGCTCCTGTCTGCAAATCTTGTGGGTCTTTTGAAGGTGCTTCAGAACTTGAATCTTCCTCAAGGACTTGAATCTTGCTCTTCGGCTGCAGACTGACATGGCTGCCCTCCTGAAACTATCTGTGAGGCGCAAGCAACAGTGACGAGTCAGGCGCCGCCTCCCGGTTGCACAAAAGTGTGAGAAACTGAAGCTGCCTCCGCTGTTGAATGCTGTTCTGCAGCCGAGCGCCAGGAAGCCTTTGGAACTCAGTTGCCTTGCCTTCACAAGGAAATCAGTTGCACACGTCACTGTAGTGCAGCATCCAAAAGTGGCCATGCTCGCACATCACTGGCTGTCGTAGTACAGCAACCAGGCGCAAATTTGCAACTGGATCGTCTGGGCCTGCAACAGGTAATCCAGTTGTGCATGTGAGTTTGTGGCCCCCGTCTCTCACTCAGCCTTTCTCTTGGCCCCGGAGCTACAACAGGGCAAAGGGAGTAATTTGCCTCTTGATAGCCACCCTGAGCCATGTGGAAGGGCAGGATATAAGTCAAATAAATAAATAAATATAATAATACATAAACTCTCATGACCAACACTCCCTCTAAGCTGTTGAGTCTTGTGAGCAAAAATTCTGCTTTGTGAGCCACTGCCATTAAAGTAGTGAGCAAGCCATCTGGCTACTGCATAAGTTAGTTTGCTCTGGAGCCATCCTTCCTGAGCCCGGACAGAAATGTGTGAGCTGGAGACTAAAAAACTCAGCTTAGGGGGAACACTGCTCATGACCAGGGGTCATTTCGTAGAAAAAGAGGTGCAGGAGCTCATTTGCATAACTTATTTGCATATGCCACCACCACCCCGACATCACCGGAAGTGTGTCAGAAGGCAACACCCACCACTCAGGCTCCACTGGACTGTTTTGGATTTCCTACTATTTGGGGGGGGAGGTGCAGATCTGTCCTCGCAGAGGAGGGAGAGCTTGTACCTGAATAAAACTTGGTCTTAAAGGTGCCACTGGACTGTTTTGGATTGCTAGCTATGGGGGGCGAACGCGCAGATCTGCCGTCGCACAGGAGGGAGAGCTTGTACCTGAAGGTGGGCCGGGGAGGGGGGCTCTGCAACGTACCTGTCTGCTTCTTGCTCCTCGTGGCCCGACTGAGGGCTGCTGGGAGCAGGGGGCGGGGATTGTTGCATGTGCCCGCCCCCTGGGCTCCTTACTGCCGGAGCTCCGCTCCTGTGCGCTCCCGCGGGAAATGACCCCTGCTCATGACCGAGTTAATGAGTCCTGCTTCCTGGTTGGAATGCACATCAGCAAACAGAATGTGCTGTTGCACACATAACAAAAGGCACCTATCAGCATGAGCATGTGTTGGCTGGTACGTGACTTCTGTCATACGGCTGCAGGTATCCCACCTCTCCACTTGGAGGATTTTAGGGCATCTAAACTGGGTTTTGGCCTCTGCAAAACTGGCAGCTCGTAAGCAAGTTTACCTGCAAAAGAAATTTTCCATTTATTTCCTTGTTTTGTAAAATTCCAGCGTCTGGTGGTGAAACCCGATCAGCTGATCAAACGACGCGGCAAGCTGGGCCTAGTTGGGGTGAATCTCGACTTGAATCAAGTGAAGGCCTGGCTGAAGCCACGGCTGGGTCACGAAACCACAGTGAGTTCCACGCACATCACCGCACTGATTAAGCCTCCTCGTCTGGGCTGCTATGCAGCCGAAGAGCTTGCTCTGAGCTCCTTGAAGGCATGGTAGGACAGACACAAACTGAAGTCAAGGGAGAAAACAGGCCTTGGGGTCTTGACAGGGCTGCGTTTTAAAATATAAGGTCAGGGATGTGTCTCATTTTTACTTGCTTATGTTTCTCATTTACAGATTGCCAAAGCAAAAGGCATCCTGAAGAACTTCTTGATAGAACCTTTTGTTCCACACAAACAGGTTTGTTTCCTTAGTACATGTATGGGCAGAGGTATCACGGGACAAACTTGCTGCGGTTCCCATGAGCTCATACGCTGAAGTGGAGACTTCCCTTCCATTTGTGTGAACCTTCAGGCACCATTGTAGAGAGCAAGGGGTGGAATGTTTCTTTGGACTGCCAGAGGAAAAGGAGAAGCCCCTTCCCTGCTGTGGCTCCCCAAATTCTTGCCCACACTCGCCCCAAAATAACTCCTTTAGTTGCTTGTTGCAGCATTCTGTAGGGTCGGCTGGCTTCCCAGGACTGGCTTGGCCTGGCCTTTTGTTCAGCACTCCTTCCAGGCAGTGGCTGTTCTCGCAGATTTCCCAAGCGTAGTCAAGCCTGCTTTTGGTGATGGCATTGAGAACTGGAGCTGGATATCTTCCTGCAAATATTTTTTTGAGGGGTGGAAATGTGTGTTGTAGGGAGGAAGAGATTTCCTGAGAAGCAGGCGTGCTCTATCCAGGGTGGTACGCATGTTTGAAATCGGTATGTGTAAGAGGCAGAGTGGATGGGTCTGGTTGTGCTCATCCCATCCCCTCCCTGCACAGAATTGCCAGCTTGTGAGCTTGGGATTTATACACAGTAAACTCCCTTCCCATGATGTTTAGCTTGGAGAGGAGGCGACCGAGAGGCGATAGGATGATCATCTTCAGGTACTTGAGGGGCTGTCATATAGAGGATGGTGCGGAGTTGTTTTCTGTTGCCCCAGAAGGTCAGACCAGAACCAACGGTTTGAAAATAAACCAAAAGAGTTTTCAGCTAAACGTTAGGAAGAACTTCCTGACAGAAAGTTAGAGCGATTCCTCAGTGGAATAGGGTTCCTTGGGAGGTGGTGGGCTCTCCTTCTTTGGAGGTTTTCCAACAGAGGCTAGATGGCCATCTGACAGCAAGGCTGATTGTGTGAACTCAGGCAGATCAGGAGAGGGAGGGTTGCCTCAGTGCTCAGGTCTCGTGGCCCTTTCTTACACGCCCAGGGAAATGCTGAATGCCACTTTGGGGTCAGGAAGCATTTTTTCTCCAGGCCAGTTTGGCCAGGGATCCTGAAGGTTTTTAGTCATCTTCTAGGCAGGGAGCAGGGGTCACTGGGGGTGTGTAGGGGGAGGTAGTTGTGAATTTCCTGCATTGTGCAGGGGGTTGGACTAGATGACCTTGGAGGTCCCTTCCAACTCTGTGATTCCATGATCAAGATAATTTGAAAAACCTGCATTCCCAATTTCTGGGAGAGAGAGCCAATGTGTATACACTTCTATGCATACTGACCAGAGTCCCCAACATATGTAAACCGCTCAGAGACCTGTCAAGGATTAGAGTGGTATATAAATCGAATGTATAAATAAATAAAAAAACATGGTGCCCCTGGGCACCATTGTGACCGCCAGGCATTAAGTGGGTAGGACCAGGTCTGGGAGTTGCCCAGCAATGTTTTTGATTGGCCTGGCTGGCCAGTTGGCTGGGAAGATTAAAACAACGTTCAGTGGCGGCTAACACTGCAGTGTTGGTTTTATTCTCATTCCTCTTTCCTAATATATATATTTTAAATCTAATGTATATATTTTTAAATCACCCTCCCCCCCCACACACACACACACTCAGGCATCCTGTGTGTGGGGCTCCGCCTCCTCCAGCTGGTCTTTTGTGGAAGGCTCCACCTTCTACAGCAGCCATTTCGTGGCTGCATCCACCACTCTCTGCCACAATTCCGAAAGTGACCAGAGGCGCAGAAAGGCTGGGGACCACCTGCATAGACTCTGTGTTCACAAACCGGTGACTTGTGATTTGGGGGCCAGTTTAGTGATTTGGGGGCCAGTTTGGTGTAGTGGTTAAGTGTGTGGACTCTAATCTGGGGAGAACCGGGTTTGATTCCCCACTCCTCCACTTGCAGCTGCTGGATGACCTTGGGCAAGCCATAGTTCTGTCAGAGCTGTCCTTGAAAGGGCAGTTCTCTCAGAGCTCTCTCAGCCCCACCGACCTCACAGGGTGTCTGCTGTGGGGAGGGGAAGGGAAAGGAGATTGTAAACCACTCTTAATACTCCCAAGTGAAGGGCGGGGTATAAATCCAATCTCCTCTTCTCTTCTTTTGTGCTGGGGGGCCAGCATGCTTGTGTCTCTCCCCTCTCTACAGAAGTTGATTTCAGTGGACACAATGTCATGAGGGAGGGCTGCCCTCTTCGTCTTCTCACACCATTTGTCATTTCTTCACACCGGTTCCCTGGTATTTGCGACTTGGAGCAGCTACAGTATCTGCATTGTGTCCCTTTCTTCCAAATCGCTCTTCTTCCTGCTGCCAGAGGTGTTGTAATTGAGCCAGTCGGATATGGCTACCTGAAGGAAGGGAGCATGAAATTGGGCGGTTTGAACTGAGGGCACTGCCTTTGGAAGAGGTGATACCTCAGGACGGCAGTCCCTCCCCTTTAATGGCCTTTGTTTGGCTCTCAGTGGTGGAGTCATGCGGCCAAAGAGAGACCCAGCACGGTGTAGTGGTTAAGAGCGGCGGACTCAGATGTGGAAAACCAGCTTTGATTCCCCACTCCTCCTCCCCACGACGCCTGCCGGGTGACCTTGGGCCAGTCACAGTTCCCTCCAAACTCTCTCAGCTCCACCTGCCTCACAAGGTCACCATTGTGGGGAGAAAAAGGGAATGCGATTGCAGGCTGCTTTGAGACTCCTTAAGGGGGAGAAAAGCAGACTATAAAAGCCTACTGTTCTTCCAGCCACTGCCCGAGATTTCTGGTGAGAGATCTTCCACCCCGCAAACAATAGCTTCTACCGTTGAACCGCTGTACTGTTAGGAAGTTTCTCCTGATGTTCAGCCAAAACCTTCCCTCCTGTAACTTAAGCCCAGTAAATGTAGTTCTGCCCTCTGAAGCAGCAAAGAACAAGTCTTTGTCCTCTTCTGCTGGATAGGTATTTGAAGAGTGCCATAATTTTTGTCTTTTGGCATACACTTTTTTCAAGAGGAAGATGAAATTCATGAAAGCATCCCCTTCGCCTCAGTTCATCTCTCCCGGTACCCTGCTCTTTAGGGCCAGGCATTTCCAAAGGCATGCCTTGCACACAATGGGTATGGTGTATTCTTATAGACCGCAACATGTGTTTAAACTGCAGGTTTTGTCTTCTAAAACCTTACCTGTTCCATGTGTTGAATTCACAGACGGAGGAGTTCTACGTGTGCATTTACGCTGCCCGCGAGGGGGACTACGTGCTTTTCCACCACCAGGGTGGGGTGGACGTGGGCGATGTGGATGCCAAGGCTCAGAAGCTGCTGGTGGGCGTCGATGAGAAGCTCGACGAGTCGGCGATCAAGAAGCACCTCTTGGTGCATGCCCCACCGGACAAGAAAGAGTAATTCTGAGGCGCTGTTTTGTAGCCCCTTAAACCATGGGTTTACAATAGTGGCTATGTTCATGTGATCAAACAGATTTAGATATTCTGGGGTGGAGTCAGGCCCGTAGCTACGGTGGGGCTATTTGGGGCTCTGCCCCCTTTCTTAAAGGCACAGCCCCGCGGGAATCTGTCCTGAAAACTCTTTTTATAAAGGTGCGCACTCCCACTTCTTGCACCCACTGAGCCATCTAAGTACTGCTTAGTTATTTTCCCTGTGGAAGAAGAATCTCATTTGTCAGTACCTTAGGATATCCTAGCGCTCTCTTCTGCTTTGCCATGGTGGAAAGGAATACCCTTAGACAGGCCCCCGCCCAACATGGTGCCCGTGGGTGCCGTGGCGCCACCGACACCTTCCTCAGCCCCGCCAAGTGTTTTTAGAAAGTGCGTGGGCCCTGGTGGGATTTTTGCCCAGCAAGGCTTCTGGTTGGCCATTGGAGATTTGATTGGCTTTGCAGATTAAAAATGTCACTTTGGTAGCAGCTGCCACCACACCGCAAGGATCTTCACTGTGTGACTGAAACTAGGCCATGGCAGCCATTTTGTGGCTGGCTCTGCCTCCTGTGGCGGCCATTTTGTAGCTGCACCCGCCACACTGTGTCAAAAGACCAAAGGTGCCAGCAAGCTTCCCTCTGTTTACTGACATCATGTGTATTGCAGGGAAGCTGCTTAACATCTGACTTCTTAATTAACCACATGTCTTTGCACACAGCTCCTCAAATGGAGCTGCCTTTGAGGCATACTGAAGGAGACTTTTCCTTCCATCTAACATGATTAAAGCCTCCGAATCAAGATGGATGAGGGCAGAGGGCAGTGGCTGAGGGACTTGACTCATCCCGGCTAGGCCTCTGAGTCATCGGCTGGCTCCATGGCAGGCAGATTGAAGGAATTAGCAACATCGCTGGCCAAGTGTGGAGGGCAAGTGCTTTAGTACATATCTGTCTGATTTTAATAAGTTTGCTTTTCTCCCCTGCCCAAAATAACCTCCTTTATGCAGTGTCTTGGCAAGCTTCATCTCTGGCCTGTTCAACCTCTATGAAGACCTATTTTTTACGTATCTGGAAATCAACCCACTAGGTAATTCATCCCGCTGTTATTTTCAACAAAACATATTTCATCCTCCCCTCTCCAGTATGCCTCCTAATGAAGATGAACGCAGGGTCTGTGGTCCAGACAGCTGGTACATTTCCATGAGCCCTTGTTGTCAAAATAACTTTAAAGCATTCCTCCTCCACAAATGGGAAATGTAGACAGTGCCCCATCGGTCTTCCGGAATGCTGACATGAGAGAACCGATTTGGGAATGAATATTAATGTGACGTTTGAGAAAACTGCTAAAGATGGAGACTTTGTTCTTAGCACTGTTTCTGAAGACCATCTTTGAACTTCCTGCCTTTTGTGAATTTGATGAAAGAACCAAATTGACCGGGGCATGTGGCGTTCTTTCATTCTGACGGCTGTTTTCATATATTATCGTGCGGGTCGCCAACCGTTTCGAGCCTGTGGGCACCTCTTGGAGTTTGAGAGGAGGCAGAGCCAAACTCAAAATGGCTGCCACAAAAAAATTGGCTGCCACCAGGTTGTTTTCATACATTATAGTGGGGGTCGCCAACCTTTTCGAGTTTGAGAGGAGCCAGAGCCAAATTCAAAATGGCTGCCATGGGACAGTTTCCGTACATTATAGTGGGGGTCGCCAACCTTTTCGGGCCTGTGGTCAACTCTTGAAGTTTGAGAGGAGGCAGAGCCAAACTCAAAATGGCTGCCGCAGGAGGCAGAGCCGAACACGATAACCTCCTTCCTTGTTTTGCCAAAGAATCTCAGAAGGGAAAGGGATGGGAAAATAGAGGAGAATAAAAAGTAATGAACTCCTGAATGTGCAGTGAACCCACATATTGACTATATTGACTGAGGAGTGGTGTGGATTCTCTAGTGGCTGTAGCTGCTATTGCAGCCATGGAAAAACCCGTTCATTTGAATTAGGGCAGCCAGCAACCAGCCCTGCCTTGCAGTGGTTCCACCCACTTTCTGAAAAGCTTGGCCAGGGCCCAGGGAAAGTGATGGCAGGTGCCGCGGTGCCCATGTGCACCATGTTGGGGAACCATGCATTATAGGAATAGGCCCACAATGTTTGTTTATAGTGTGGGTTCATGGTGTTTCTTGTACTGTGTGAAAGGCAGATTTTACTTTTTCACTGTACTTTGTGCTGTGTTTAACCCTCGCTGGGGCTGCACTTGAAGGCTGGTGCGATTATTGGACCGAAGATTCAGGAGACCTGAGTTCGGATCCTCACTTAGCCATGAAACCTACCAGATGATATTGGGTCAGCTACTCTCCCTTGGCCTAACCTTCCTCCCCACTGGTGGTGAGGGTGAAAGGGAAGCGGGGAGAACTAGGTACATTGCTCTGAGCTCCTTGGGTAAAAGGGTAGAATAAGATGTGATAGATTTGGCTATGCGTCCCCTGTGGCATGGATTCAAGCACCATAGCGGTAGCGGGGGGAGACAGATCTGCCTGTTGCGCTGCTCTCCATGAAAAATACACTTCTGTTTTATTGTGTTCCAATCCTGCTTGTTTTCCTGGCCCCTCCAGTTATGCCCTTATTTAACTCCTACTTCTTCCCTGGCCTTTGGTGTGTCTTGTAAGCTCCTTGGTGCAGGGATTCATTTTGTTTGCTTCTCCATAAAGTTGCTGTGCAGGTTGGCGATAGAGAAACTGTGTCATCACTTCCCACTTCCCCCTTTTGCCTTCACAGCATCCCTGCAAGGTAGGACATGCTGAAAGGTAGAAAGTGGCTCTTGGTCAGCTAGTGAATTTGGTGGCTTTGTAGGGACTTGAAACCAGGCCTCCCAAGTCTAAGTCAGTCACCCTGTCTGCTACATGTGGGGTAAACAGATAAAAGTGTTCACAAACTCCCATTTTCATAGCAATGTGCAACGGCTTGCTGCAGGCTAAAAAAAAAAAAAAGCATTCTGGCGCTTGTGAAAATGTTTTGCTTTTCTCTTCATAAGCAGAACCCTATGTTTGTATATAGAATTCCCAGGAGAAAAAAATTGAATGCTTATTTAGATAGGGCTGAAGGAATTACACAGAGGCCCTCGCAAGAATTTATGAGTGCAAACTCAGTTGCTGATGAGGGCATTCTTTTCATAAATGGAGAGGGTGGTGGCTTTTATCAATCAGATTTAATTCTCACATTATCTTGCGCAAAAGGAATTACACAGGCCCTTGCAAGAGCTTATTAGTGCAAACTCGGTTACAGATGAGGGGAGCGTTTTCATGAATGGTGTTTTGGGATGACTCTTACCTGAACGTTCCACACGCTCCCAAAGCAATTGGGTCCCTGGTCTGTCATTCAGGAGGTGTGCCAATCCCTTGGCTGCCTTGCCTTGCTGCGTTGCAGCCTGTATGTGTAGATTCAGCTTGATTTTGAGGGCACGCGCAAGAAAGGTGGGTAGTGGATTTAGAAGGATTATAATATGTAGGAGTTCCAAGGAGAGCTTCCTGTAGACAGCAGATTTCTTTGCTGATTTGTAGTCTTGACCCTGAATCAACCGCTTGAGGTTTTCCTAAATTTCAAAGCCAGCCCTCAAATCAGTGCACAGGGCCTATGCAAATAGCATCCAGTGTCATAAGAAATAGATCTAAAAGTATCCTGTGGACAAAAGTGGTCACCAGAAAGGGAGGCTGCCTGCTGTGTCTCTGCCTGAGTCGCTAACTCTGAATTTGCCTTTTTCCCAAACAGCTTCCGGGGCGGGGGGCGGGTGTTAGGTGACTGTGTGACATCTTGGGATTGGGTGCGATGCTGTGGCTCCCCATGCAGAGATGCTGCGCAGTTACCTGCCTTAGAAGTCATATGGAATGCAGGCACTAGGTAGTTCTCACTGACGCAGTCTGAATGTAAATCCTTTTAGCTGCCTCTGTCATCAGGGTTGGATCCTAACAACCTCTCTACCAGCATGAGAGGGGGGAGAGGCGATCCTACCCGGTTCCTGTTCTGGCTGTAGCTGTGCCCCGTGATTTCCAGGACTGTCAAAAGGGGCCCCTCTCCTCCCTCTTGCATCAGCAGAAAAAAAACCCTATAAGTCCAGTCCTGTGTTGGTGCAGTTCTCTCTGTGATGGCGGAACTGTTTCACCCAGAACGTTCATTCTGACGGGGGTGAGACCCTGATATCAAGAGATAACCTCACGAGGGGCTGTGGCTCAGTGGTAGAGCATCTGCTAGGCATGCAGACAGTCCCAGTTTCAGTCCTCAGTATCTCCAGTTAAAAATCTGGCAGTAGATGATGTGAAATACTTCTGCCTGAGACCCTGGAGAGCTACTGCCAGTCTAAGTAGAAAATACTGATTTTGATGGACCATTCAGTATAAAGCAGTGTTCGTGTGATCTAGGCAGTACCCTGCAACCAATGCTCCCTCTAAGCTATGGGTGTCAAACATGCGGCCCAGGGGCCAGATCAGGCCCCCGGAGGGCTTCCATCAGGCCCGCAGTGGAACTGGCCATCTCCTGCTTCCAGTTCTGCTGCTGCATCATAGCTTGCTTTGCCAGATTCTCAGCCATTTCATGTTTTCCCCTGGGTCCTAGACCCAGAAGTCTGAGCATGAGATTTCTGTGGTGAATGTCAATAAATCAAAAGTAGGTTTGCAGCTTACAGAGCTAATGTTTTAAGCATGTCTTCATTTTAAGTAAAAAAAAAATCTTTGTGTCCTTTATAAAAATTTTATCTTCACTACCTGGCATTATATTTTATGACACACAGGGCCCGGCCCAACAAGGTCTCATTTATGTCAGATCCGGCTCTCATAACAAATAAATTTGACACCCCTGCTCTAAGCTATGGAGCCCTGTGAGCAAAAATTCTACTTTGTGAGCTACTGGCATTAAAGTTGTGAGCAGGTGTTTTGTCTACTGTGTAAATTAGTTTGTTCTGGAGCCATCCTTCCTGAGCTGAGACAAAAATGTATAAGCCGGAGGCTAAAAAAAACTGTGAGCTAGCTCACACTAACTCAGCTTAGAGGGAACACTGCCTGCAACGTCCCTTCAGTAAACTGCTTTGTGTGGCTTTTCTCTGTCTAGGAGCAGCTAGGGGAAAGTGCGTGCTGACTCAACTGTTCTTTTTCCCTTCCCCTAAATACAGTCGTAACTGCAGAGGGTGTTTACGTGCTGGACCTGGCAGCAAAGATTGACGCAACAGCTGACTATATCTGCAAAGTGAAATGGGGCGACGTGGAGTTCCCCCCTCCTTTTGGAAGAGAGGCATATCCAGAGGCAAGTAGAAGGGCCGCGGAGCCAGTTTGCTGTTCCTCCAGGCGACTCTAGCCAGTGCCCCTGGCTAGAAAGAGTTTCGGCACAGCCAGTGCCTTGGCATTTCATGGCATGTGAACTGTCAGCAAATTCCCTCCCTCGCCAAATCTTGCTTTGACCCTTAGGTCAAGTTTGAACAAAGTGTAACTCTCTCTGTCTTGGCTCCGTATCTGTAAATACAGTGAAAGTATATTCTCCAGTATCATACGCGGAACTGCATCCTAAGCCTTCCCTGCATTGCACCTTCCCTGCATTGCACCCTTAGGTCAAGTTTGAACAAAGTGTAACTCTCTCTGTCTTGGCTCCGTATCTGTAAATACAGTGAAAGTATATTCTCCAGTATCATACGCGGAACTGCATCCTAAGCCTTCCCTGCATTGCACCTGTCACGGCTCAGGTGGGGTGTCACCTGAGGCTGCCACCACGCTGGTTCCAGGCTCCCTCAAGAAGGCCCAGAGCACCCTCCCAAGACCTTCTGACCTCCCTTTTGGCCGAATAATAGGCGTGAGGACCAGGTAGAGTGAGCAGTGAAAGTAGTTTATTGTATAGGAGGTCAAATAACAAGGTGCAGAATAATAACAGTAAGTGGGTGAAAAGAAAAGAAATCAAATGCCCTAATGCATCTAAATCTATACTGTCCCTAGCTCACTATTCCAAGTGGCACTAGACTACTCACCCTTCCCTCAGGATGAGGGTCTCTTTCCTACAGCAGCCTCAATCCCTTCTGGCTCTGTCCCCTGGGAAGAAGAACAGCTTTTCCTGCTGCTCCAGATCTTTTATTCCAAGCCCTCTTCTTTTCCTATTGGTCAGTTTTGGCTCTAAAACCTCTCAGGAGCTTCTGGGAGTTGTAGGCCCAGCCTCACCTACTGCAAGCCAGGCTCCCTGGGCCTAGTAGGCCTCTGGTGGCACAGCCCAGATCATGACAGCACCATTTCCTATTATGGGGGCCAAGTTCCTCTGCAGAGCATGTTCCCCCACTACTGGACATCGCACAAGACCAGTGGCGCCAGAGGGAAATGCTGCTGTACGGTAGAACGACGGACAGGGGCACAAATGCAAGCGAGGCTTTGGATCCAAGCTACAGTCATTGTAAGGGTTACTGAGATGGTGATTGGTTGTGTGGCTTTTCGTCGATGTGCACATGAGTAGTGGCCTGACTAGCCCAGACTCGCCTGAGTGCTGATGAGCTTCGAAGCTAATCAGGGTCAATTGTGGCTGGTACTCAAGCCTGTAGCCAGGGGGTTTTGTGGCTTGTGGAGCAGATTTTTTTTTTCTGGTGGGGCTGAAGTTCTCAGTGCAGAAAGAAAAGCCATTTAGCCAATAGAAAGCTGTGACCAGGATAGATCTCTAAATTGCAGGCTGTCAGCCACTTTAGATGACAGTTCTCAGCTGCTGCAAGTTAATCACTTCTGCCAGCCTAAGCCACAATCCTGAGAAGAAGCCGGCAGGTGGGAGTGATGACTTCTGTAGTCAAGAAAGCTGACACTTAGGCAGGAAAACTCTCTTAAAGGAGACCAGTTTCTTGACACAGAGTTAGAAGGGATCCTAGAGGTCACCAACTCCAACCCCCTTGCTCAGTGCAGGAATTAGTCAACTACAGCACCCCACTCTGCTTAAAGGAGCACACGCCTTTAAATAATGTTTACAATGACTGAAAAAGCATTTGCGGGAGAAGTTCTTGTGGGGCTGTGCCTTTAAGAAAGGGGCGGAGCCCCCGAAAGTCCCACCGTAGCTACAGGCCTGTTGGTACTTGGATGGGAGACCGCCAAGGAAGACTAAGTTGTAAACCATATCTGCACATCTCTTGTCTTGAAAAACCACATGAGGGGTTGCCATGAGGCAGTTGTGACTTGACGGCACTTTACTATTATTATACCTGTGAGTGTTGTGGGTGGAGGACTTGGGTTGGCTTTGCATAGTCTTGGGAAGCCTCCCGTTTGACCTCTGGCACTTTCACACATGTTGAGTAATGCACTTCCAATGCACTTTAGCAGTTCTTTGCCAGTGGATGTTGCCAGTTCACGCAGTAACATCCAGTTGCAAAATTGAAGGTGGGTTAAAAGTGCATGATTCAGCACGTGTAAAAGCACTGTCAGTTTCATCTGAATACAATTTATAATGAAGAGACCTTTTTTGCTGGTGCTCCCTTCTATCCTAGGCGTGAGAGTAGGCAAACCTAAGAGCTCGTGCCCTCAAAAGTGTTTGAAGTTTCCCAAGATACGGACCACTCAAAGGGTCAATGGAAACGCTTGTAACTACCGAGAAATCGGTCCCAGTGCTCAGCTACACTGCATGGTGAGGTCTGTGTTTCCCCTAGTGTGGGGCAGAGCAGGGATAGGCCCAGAGCCCTGGTTATCTACTGTACTGGAAGGGAGTCAGGGTCAATGCTCCCTCTAAGCTGTGGAGTCTTGTGAGCAAAAATTCTACTTTCTGAGCTACTGGCCTTTAAAGTTGTGGGCGAGCGATTTGGCTACTGCATACATTCGTTTGCTCTGGAGCCCTCCTTCCTGAGCTAAGACAAAAATGTGTGAGCTGGAGGCTAAGAAACTGTGAGCTAGCTCACACTCAGCTTAGAGGGAACACTGGCTCAGGATTTCCCTCAAAACAGCATGGCTCCATTCTCCCTGGAATTAGGCTAATCTGCATTGCTGAACATCTCCGGTGGCTGTCTGACGTTCCAGAATTTTCAATTTAATAATTGCAGTGATGCACGCAGGAGGGTGGCGGCCAAGAAACCCATTTAGATATAGCTGTTCCTTTTTCTCTCCCCTTCCCGTCTTGTGTGCCCTCTGAGTGCCGCCTCTTAACTCAATTTGGCCGCGTTTCTAATGGATTAGTTTTAATTTCAGCCGCACTGAATCATTCTCCGTGCCAGGCACTAATGAAGTCTTGTAGACTCCCTGGGCTTGTTGGGAATTTTAATAAGCGTGCTCTCAGAGTGCGACTGGGGGCATCGTGGAAGGAGGCTTAAGCCGATGCCCGGGGAGATCTTAGCCTTCAGCTTCATCAACCTGTTTTTTTCTTTTCAGACAGAGTGGGCTGAAGGAGTTGCCCTGGGTCTGTCTCTGTGTATGTCATGTGGCATCAGGTCGCTTCCAGCTTACGGTGACCCTTTCAGTGAATGTCCTCCAAAATGTCCTACGGTTAACAGCCTTGCCAGTTTGGTGTAGTGGTTAGGAGTGTGGATTTGAATCTGGGAGAACCGGGTTTGACTCCCCACTTCTCCACATGCAGCTGCTGGTGAACATAAGAACATAATAACATAAGAGAAGCCAATGTTGGATCAGGCCAGTGGCCCATCTATTCCAACACTCTGTCACACAGTGGTCAAAAATACCAGGTGCTATCAGGAGGTCCAGCAGTGGGGCCAGGACACTAGAAGCCCTCCCACTGTTGCTCCCCCCACAAGCACCAAGAATGCAGAGCATCACTTGTCCCTATCTATAACTTGTGGCTAATGGCCACTGATGGACCTCTGCTCCATATGCTTATCTAATTCCCTCTTGAAGCTGTTCATGCTTGTAGCTGCCACCACCTCCTCTGGCAGTGAATTCCATGTGTTAATCACTCTTTTTGTGTGAAGAAGTACCTTGGGTCAGTCACAAGTTCTCTTAGAGCTGAGCTCTCACAGCCCCGCCTACCTCACAGGGTGTCTGTTGTGGGGAGGGGAAGGAAAAGGAGATTGTAAGCTGCTCTAAGACTCCTTCGGGTAGTGAATGGCGAGGTATAAATCCAGTTTGTTCTCTTCTTGCTTAGGTCTTGGAACCTGAAGGTCGTAGCTTTCTTTATTGAGTCCATCCATCTCATGTTGAGTCTTCCTCTTTTCCTACCGCGAACACTTATTCTCCTCCCCAACCTTTTTGGGGGTATTGTGCAACTCTTTTCAGCCCTGTGTTTCTGCTTCCTTCATCTTTGTGTGTAGAGAGAGAGAGAAATTAGTTCTAAATCAGCAGCAGTTCTCCCTTCTCAAAGACTCTTGGCTGAGGATTCTGTGGAAGAGATCCCTGGCCATCTTCTCCCTCCCCAGGGCTTCTGTGGGGAAACAGGTAGGCATGACAGTTGCCACATCTTCTAACCTTCAGAGAGCTTAGAAGGGAGATGTTGTCTCTGGATGCCCGTTTTTGAGAACACAGATCTTGGCCTAACAGGACTTGCAGGTCGTAATCCAGTTTGGTGTAGTGGTTAAGTGGGCAGACTCTAATCTGGGAGAACCGGGTTTGATTCCCCACTCCTCCACTTGCACCTGCTGGATGACCTTGGGCAAGCCATTGTTCTGTCAGAGCTGTTCTTAAAAAAGAGCTGTTTCTGTCAGAGCTCTCTCAGCCCCACCTACCTCACAGGGTGTCTGTTGTGGGAAGGGAAAGGAGTTTGTAAGCCGCTCTGAGACTCCCTTGGGTAGCGAAGGGCGGGATATAAATCCAATCCGCTCCTCCCCCCCCTTCTCTTTTCCTTGTTCTGCTAATTCTCCCCCTCCCAGTCCCCAGTATCTCCAGTTAAAAGGTGCAGGGAGTGGGTGATGTGGAAGACTTCTGCCTGAGACTCTGGAGAGCCGCTGCCGGTCCGAGTGGACAGGAGGGACCATGACAGACCAAGGGGTCCGACTCAGTCGAAGGCAGTTTCATGTGTTCACAGATGGGGGCTTTCGGGTTTGCAGCTCAGCTGGGCTTGGGGAATGACAGTTTAGTGGATGTTTGCAGGTGGAAACTTAATGGGTGGGAGAAGCTCAAGCGTTCGTCCTCTGAATTATCTCCTGCGAAATCGCCCCACCTTCACGTTACCAGGGAAACGTGAGATTTCATGCTCTGGCCCCGGAGGGATTCTGCTAACGCTGGGATTCTGTTTTGCAGGAAGCCTACATTGCTGACCTCGATGCCAAGAGCGGAGCCAGTTTAAAGTTGACCATCTTGAATCCAAAGGGCAGAATTTGGACCATGGTGGCTGGAGGCGGAGCTTCTGTCGTGTACAGGTACCAAGAGCGGGGTCTTGCGGCAGTGGGGTGGCTGGGGGAAAGCTGAGAGTGTACAGAGGAGAGAGACTCAGGGCAGCCACAAGAGGAAGAAGCTTGTTGCTGTTTTGTAAGCCAAAACATAAAAAGGGCCACAGTGGCTCAGGGGTTAAGACGCTGGGCTGCATACTGGAAGGTCTGTAGTTCGGCAGTTCAAGACACAAGTACCGCGTGGCGGAGTGAGCTCCCGTCTCTGGCCCCAGCTCCTGCCAACCTAGCAGTTCAAAAGCAAGAAATTGCAAGTAGATAAATAGGTACCGCTTCGGTGGGAAGGTAACAGCGTTCTGTGTGCCTTGGCGTTTAGTCATGCCAGCCACATGACCACAGAAACGTCTTCGGACAGTGCTGGCTCTTTGGCTTGGAAACAGAGATGAGCACCGCCCTCTAGAGTTGCATTCGACTAGCTCTTGAGCAAGGGAAACCTTTATCCTTTACCTTTACCTTTTAAGCCAAAACATCAAACAGGCCACAAAGGTATCTGGCAGGAGAAACGCGTGCTTCCTCCTTACCCTACCACAAGCCATGCTTGCTTTTTATTTATTTGCAAAGATTTATACTCTGCTGTTCTCCCTTCATCCAGGCCATCAAGGCAGCAAACGAATTAAAAAACATAAATAATAAAAACACATCATTAAAAGTCATTGAAATCAAACACATCATTAAAGCAATTAAAACCAAGCTGAAGTTACACATACAAAAATTTAAAAGACCACTAAAACAGGGCAGGAAAGAGGGGTCACTCCGGGAACACCAGATAAACAAAGGTCTTCACCTGCTGGTGGAAGATGGCAATAGAAGGAGAGAAGCAAGTCTCTCTGGGGAGAGAGTTCCAGGACTTTGGTGCCACAACCAAAAAGGCCCTCTCCCACGTTGCCACCCATCTAATCTCAGAAGGCAGGAGCATGCAAAGCAGGGCCTTGGAAGAGGACTGGAGAGATTGAGTAGGCTCTCCTGCTCTTCCTCATACCCTGCTGATCACTCCTTGATTTGCTTTCTCGTGGAATGTTTTTGTACGGCTTGAACGACAGTTCTCAAAATGATATGCAGAAGTTGATGACACGTCCAAAACTAATTAAAGTTCAAATCTCACCAACACAACTCCTGTGCAAAGGCACAGCAGAACAATAACAGTTTGGCCTATTGTGAAATGGCATTAATGACAGAAGCAAACCAAGCAGCCCATTGAAGATGCTCTGGGACTACTACTGAAAAGGCCCTGCTATTTGGCGGATATGTATGTATGGGCTGTCAGTTCGCAACTGACTTAAGGTAACCCCAGCAACAGTCTTGCAAGGCAAGTGAGAAGCTGATGTGCTTTGCCATTGCCGTCCCCTGCAGAGTCTCCTTGGTGGTCTCCCCATCTAAGTTCTGACCCTCCTTAGATTTAATAAGGCTGTGCTGTACCGTACCATTCCACATCCCTTCTTACTGGATACCAGTCTGGTATACAGATAAGCTGTCGTTCATAGCCATCTTCACCAGCCAGTTTTAAATTTGGGAGCGGTGCTGTCTGAGATAACAAGCCCCAGACCATTTGAGGCTTTGAAAATCGAAACTGAAAATCTTTAATTTGGCTCAGAAATAAATAGTTGTTTTGATACTGTAATATGACTAGACCAGTTGTTGCCCCTGAGGTTGCTGGCATTCTGCATTAGGTTGAAGTTTCTGAACAGGTTTCAGGGGAAAGCCCTGCATTCACACACACGGGGAAATGCCCTATTGATGCACCAAAGCAGTTGTTTACAACCAGATTTTCGTGTTTTATGCAGGCCAATCCAGTTGCAAATGATTGCTTTTAGTGCATCAAAAGTGCATTACTTAAAAATGTGTGAAAGCTGGCAGGGCTGCCAAGAGCCACAGTGGGCCTTCAGGCAAAGATTTCACCTGCCCCCATCCCCATATGGCCCAGGTCCAAAACCAGTATCATAACAAAAAAAAAATCACTTGGCTTTCTGCTACCGTAAATCTATAATAATAAAAGGATCCACATGTCCCTCCCATCTGTAAATTTGTGGCAGGCATAATTTATCAGAAAATGAAGCCAGAAGACTCAAAATTGGCCACCAGCTTCAGGGCGATTGTGGGAGTCCCACTGCCAAAACTGAAAGGCATCAGAATCGATGCTCCCTCTAAGCTGTGGAGTCTTGTGAGCAAAAATTCTACTTTGTGATCTACTGACATTAAAGTTGTGAGCAAGTGATTTGGCTACTGCATAAATTAGTTTGCTCTGGTCTGGAGCTATCCTTTGTGAGCTAAGACAAAATAGTGTGAGCTGGAAGCTAAAAAACTGTGAGCTATCTCACACTAACTCAGCTTGGGGGGAACACTGATCAGGATATCCTGGCCCAGGTTATCTCCAGACACCCCTTGGGCTATTTGCAGTGGAAACTATGGATCTGTTTGTGGTGGGTATAACTCATTAGAAAATAATGCTGGATGTTTGGAAACTGGCCACCACCCCCAGAATGACAATGGAAGTTGCAGTGCGGAAAATGAAGGGACTCGAATTCTCCCGGACCGGGTTATCTTCATGATAGGCTTCCCGCAGGTAGAGATCACGGGCATAGAGTGTGTCGGTGTGATGCTGGAGGCTGAGAGTTTGGCTATTTGGTTGGTGTACCGACCACCTAACGCGCCGCCCAATAGTCTGCCATCCCTGCTGGAGGCCGTATCAGGCCGGGCGGTGGAGCACCCTAGGCTGATTGTCTTGGGTGACTTCAACGTCCATGCTGAGGACGCAGCCTCCAGCCAGGTTGTGGATCTAGTGTCGTCCATGGCGGCACTGGGACTCAGTTTGTCTCGGCACCCACGCATTGGGCCGGTCACATGCTCGATCTGATCTTTGCAGCAGGAGTCACGGTGGACCGGATCACTGCCCAGGCAGTGCCATGCCCTGATGGCCCATCTGAATGCCCCACGCCAACCCTGTTTGGGTGGCGAGCTGATTTTGGTTCGCCCACGAAGTCAAATGGACCTGATGCGGTTCCAGATGGCTCTGCGGGATCCGAGGCCCCCTGGTGGTTCGTTAGATGAGCTGGTGGAGGATTGGAATTGTCGACTCTCCTCAGCCATCGATGAGATCGCTCCCAGGCGCCCTCTCCGCACTTGTGATAGGCGAGCACACTGGTATACCCAGGAGTTGCGGCGGCTGAAGCGAGAACTGAGACGGCTAGAGAGACGGTGGCGCCGTGCTCATGACGAAGTGTCAAGATCCTATGAGATGGCAGTCAAGGCCGCAAAGAAAGAGTTCTAGGCGACCTCGATTGCATCTGCTAGCTCACACCCGGCTCAATTATTTAGTGTAATTCGGTCTTTGACAGCTCTGCCTCAGGGCAGGCAAAATGCTAGGGAATTGGACTTAGGCTGTGAGGCATTTGCAAGCTATTTTGCAGATAAAGTCTTGGCTCTCTGCTGCGACCTCCCTGCCACAATTGAAACAGTTAGGGAACTTGAGGCCCCTTGCACGTCTTTGGTGCCGGGTTTAGTGGGTTTTGACCCACTCAGCCTGGAGGAAGCTGACAGGTTGCTTGTATCGGTGCACCCAGCCACATGCGACCTGGATCCGTGCCCCTCCTGGCTTATTAAAGCAGGCCATGAGGGGTTTCGAGGTGCACTGCGGGAGATTGTCAATAAGTCCCTCGTTGAGGGACGGTTCCCCGGAGCACTCAAGGAAGCAATGGTCCGCCCTCTCTTGAAAAAACCATCTTTGGACCCGGCCAAATTGGCCAACTATCGGCCGGTTTCCAATTTGTCCTATTTGGGCAAACTTATCGAGAGGGCGGTGGTGTCACAGCTACAGGGCTATCTGGATGAGGCTTCCGTTCTCGATCCCTTCCAGTCTGGCTTTCGCCCGGGCCACAGGACGGAGACGGTGCTGGTCGCTCTGACGGACAATCTCTGTAGGCATCTGGATCGAGGTGGTGTGGCGGCACTGGTGTTGTTAGATCTGTCGGCTGCGTTTGACATAGTCGACCACCAGTTGCTGGCCTGCCGCCTCGCCGACGTGGGGATTCAGGGGCTTGCTCTTCAATGGTTCGCCTCTTTTCTTCAAGGTTGGGGACAGAGGGTGGCGATTGGGGACCAGCGGTCTCGAAGGCTCCCCCTTGAGTGTGGGGTGCCCCAGGGAACTGTGTTGTCCCCTATGTTGTTCAACATCTATATGCGCCCCCTTGCCCAGATTGGCTGGAGGTGTGGGCTTGGGTGTCATCAATATGCTGATGACACCCAGCTCTATCTGATGTTAGGCGG